GGTAAGATCAATGGCAACGCAAATCACAAATAAACAATTCTGAACCCATGTTTATAGAAATTAACAGTCAATTAACAATGTTATGTGCACTTCGTTGATAATTTGCCTACTTGAATGGACTGAAATATACTTTGTTACTTCTTAATTCTTCCTCTATGACAAAAATATTAAATTTTCTTAGTAAAAATAAAATACCCAAGGATTTAAACGGAATACCCAAGACCAAGTCAAAATACCCAAGATCTTGGGTAAATTACTCAAGCAGTGGTCACACTGATCATTGCCAACACACACTCACTATTGCAGCAGCAGTGCACTGAATGACGTCACGCATGTATCGGCGTTTCTATTGGCTAATCATGACGTAATATCATTTACTGTACCTTTAGCAATCGGAAGTTCCGATACGGTACCGTATCTCTAGCCACGGCGAAAATTAAAATGTAAATGGCAATTTATTTGATGTTAGATTCCTTTTAAAAACTAAATTATTTCAGTTTAAAAAAATGCATATAATGATTTTAAAAAAATAGTTTTAATACAGAATTTTATTATTGGGGCCATTTTTACCGACCTGTCATTTGGGGCCATTTTTTCCGGGCCATTCTTACCGTACACCAATCCGAGGCCTAGCCTAGGCATAGTAGTACTACTAGTAGTAGTAGGGGCCTGGCTAGGCTGAAAAACAATATAAAAAACAAACAAACTATTCGGATAGGTAACCTAACTCAAAATTGGTGCTAAATATGAAAAAGCACTAACATCTGAATCTGCTTAAGGGATATCACTCTGAAAATTATCGAAAAGAGTAAAAATCTTACCAGTTTTGTTGCACAACCAGAGGTGGTGTGTAGGCAGTTATATTTGTTATTGTTATTGGGCTTTCGACTGGTTCATTTAGTTAAGTAAGAATTTTCGTTGAGTATTATTTTCATTCGACTGGTTCCGTTAAATAGACTTCGTGGACAACAAAACTTAACGTAAACACATGACAGTGCGTTAATCAGCGTTTAGTTATCCACGTGACCAAAAAAACAAAAAAAAAAAACATGGCCGATTGGTGAGTTTATAAACAGCATTTTTAACTGAATTAGTACCTCAACAAGTTTAGGAATATCTAGACGTTATCAAGGATTATTGAATGTGTTTTAAAATTGTATTTTATTTTCGTACCACCTTTCTTTATTAATGACAGGTTCGTAAATTTGCTTTGAATGCATTGTGATCTATTTGATTTCAAACCTCTTTCTCTATACTCTGGCCCTACATTCTTTATTTTACAATTAAGTTTTTTCAAATTTATGTTTAAAACTTAAAATTTGTTTTACGTGTGAAGTCCATTAAATTGATTGATTGATTGATTTATTGGATTGACAACTGAAGGTTCTGTATATTGTCAGCACACTGGTGAATGCTTGGCCATGGCAAAAGAGTGACCAATCTGGTGTATTGGGTTGAAGACATTATGGAAGCACTTTATTTTATACTTTCTCAGAACCATTTTTATTTTTACTTTTTCACTTAATTACAGTGGATCCAATGAACTAAAGTTACAAAATTTGGATGTTGAGTGTCACCTATACACTTTTCGATGGGGAGGTGCGTTTTGCAACCGAAGTGGACCACGATGGGCGACAGTGCCCATGGATCCCCGCGAGGGTGCGGCGAACCTTCTGGAAGCTCTGACAAATTAGCATTTTGAGGGCTGAGTTTCGACAGACATTTGCATCATACTAGAGGAAATAAACTTAAGATCGAAAGTAGACTCCTTTTGTATGTAGTCGGACAATGTATGTCCATCTTCCAACTGCTTTCCTCCTAAGAACAAACATTGCTGATCTAAAGGGAAACCTTCCTTGTCTTGAATGTCAGCTTTTAAATTTTTGATAGTGAAGGTTAGCTTAACTTCTGCGGTCATTTTCTTGCCAGTCTGGGTTATGATGAAGACAGTAATGAAGCCATGTGGACGCTGCACAAGATAGATAGTGGACCCTGCTTGTACGTTGCAGCTGGACAGGGTACGTTCAGATTCGAACACTCTTCCTTTAAATATCAAACGTTGCTGATCTGGAGGGATGCCTTCCTTGTCTTGAATTGTCGCTTTCACATTTTCAAATGTGGTTGAGTGCATAACTTCTAAAGTAATGGTTTTGCCAGTGCGGACGGTTTTGACAAAAATTTGCATGCCATTATCATTATGGAGAGTGGATCCCATTTCTATATTGTAGTCGGATAGAGTGCGTCCATTTTCCAACTGGATTCCCTTAAATACCAAACGTTGCTGACTAGGAGGGGTGCCTTCCTTTTCTTGAAATGCAACCTTTATACTTTCAATAGTGTCTAATGGGTCAACTGTCAGAGTGACGGAATTGCCAGTGGAGGTTTTGACAGCGATCTCCTGGCTCTCACCGCCGCCCCTCATACAAACAAGAAGATGAAATTCGGACTTATCCTGTATGTTGTAGTCGGACAGAGTACGTTCATTTTCCAACTGCCTTCCTTTAAAAATCAAACGTTGAATGTTTGGACTTACAGATTGCTCATAAAAAATTTCATATTTGACGTCTTTAATCGTGTATGATGGCTCAACTTTTAGGGTAGTTGCCTTGCCTGTAATACTTATGACAAAGATTGTCATGCTGCGGCAACATACACAAGGAAAGTTGAATCCATATTCCGGCAAGGAGCATGGAGTCCATATGGTATGTTGCTGTTGGAATTTGGTCTTAAAATGTTTGATGTTGTCTGATGGTTCAACGTTGTGGACGATAGCATCTTGCAGTTTTTTTGTCTGACCTGTGAAAATTAGTTAATACATTTTATATTACAATTCTTATATGCTTTCCCTGTTTCAGAACAAAGACAAAGGCCTACATGATTTTATTGGTTAAATTTAAAATGCTTTTTAATTATGCAACATATTTAAAAACACACACAAAAAAAAGAAATGCTGGTAACACTGCAAACTATATAATCTGCAATTAAAATTGTTTTAATAATGATTATTAATATTTTAAACATTTATAAGTGCTCTTACACAGAGTCTCGAAAAGATAATTGAAAAATTTTATAGTAAAATATATTAATAGTAAAAGTGTTTGAAAACTAACCCTTTTTAACCACCTTTGATAGGGCCATACTGTAATATTATGTTAAAATAAAGCTGAAATAAAGAAGAAAATATGTTTCTAATCATGTTGACATTTCATATAAATATATATTTTGTTTCCTTATGAATACGATTCTGAACAATATCTAAAACATTAAACGTATATTTAAATATTTCAACACCATTGAAACAATGGTAATCTTACCTTTTGATAAAAACGTATTAAACATCAAGCTGATGTAAGAACGAATAGTAATGCTTTAGATGTATAAATCATTTGGCTGCATTCTTCCTAACTGAAAATAAAAAATAGGGCAAAAATCATATAGAAGTACACCTATAGGCAGTGGCCTATAAAACCTTTGCATAGTCATTGTTATAAAGCTTTAAAAATGGGATTAAGTGTGTTTAATAATTTATCCTAATACATCCAATGATATAGACCCATATCCACACCACTGTCATGTCATAAGTGATACAATCATGCTTTATTTTTGTAAAATCTGTTGTCATTTTCACTTTTTCTTTGCAATAATGAAAAACTTAAGTAAGTCTTTTGTCCTTTTATAACAGTAGTTGATAGGCTACGGTCAGTGTAATACATAATAGAAATTTTAAAACATAAGTGGGCTCAAGCTTAATTTAATATTTCACAATTGTGTGTTTATATAATTAAATAATGGTATTTACTTCAGTTTTTCATTCCATTCATTTGCTAAGGTGAGCTCAGTCTGGCAATTGAAGGAAACCATGTTTCCTTTTAAGTGTCAAAGTCTGGAAAACACAGACTAGCGAATGTGTACTTGCCCCTTGGTACAAAACAGTCAAAAATATATTGCATACTTGCTAATACCACTATAATAAATGCCCACAGCAATCAGCAACTACCCTACTGCATCACATTAATAAGCATGTGTTTCTAACTTAAAATCTTAGGCACCTAAGAAGTCACACCAGTTAACAAAAAACATTACAAGCAGTCAACGGTATTTGTTTTACTTATTAATCTTCGTTGTACGACTAATAATAATAATAATAATAATACTCTACCAACAACTGATAACAGGTTATGTATTATTAATCAGAAGAAACACAAGTTAGTAAAACATCAAATAAATATCAGTCATCTTTAAAGTCGTAATACAAGAAAAACAAAAGTTCATTCACTAAAAAACAAACAAAACACAAGTTAGTAAAACTCAAATAAATATCAATCATCTTCAAATGCAATGACAAACAGATGTTCATTCACTAAAGAACAAACTGAACACAACCCCGGTAAAAATTCCCATTGAAATTTCCAATGGGTCCAATGAGGTTCAATGGGTCCAACTGGTATTTTTCAATGGGTCCGACTGGTTAAACGAGGTTCAATGGGTCCAAGGTATTTTTCAACTGGTATTAGCCAACTGGTATTGTTCAATGGTTTGAACTGGTAATATCCAATGGGCCCAACTGGTGTTGTTCAATGGGTCCAACTGGGCATTATTGAATGGGTCTAACTGGTATTATACAATGGGTATAACTGGTATTATCCAATTGGTCTAACTGGTATTGTACAATGGGTCTAACAAGTATTCAATGGGTCTATGGATTATCCAATGTGTCTAACTGGTATTATCCAATGGGTGTAACTGGTATAATACAATGGGTCTAACTGGTATTATCCAAACCCAACATTGAGTACCAGTTGGGATTTTCAACTGGTCTAATGGGTTTCAACTGGTTCAATTGGTATTTTCAATGGGTCGGTCAAATATGGATTTCAACATGGTTTAAATGGTATCAATCAACGGGTCCAATTGGTATGTTCAATGGGTGCATTGGTTTCAACTGGTCCAATTGGTTACAGAATGGGGCTCCAAGTTTCAACTGGTCTGATTGGTACGACATCAAAGAGGGTTCAATTGGCCTCAACTGATCCAGCTACTGGCTAAAATGCATGCGGGACCGAGGGATGATACTGTAGTATGGCATAATAAAATGGTTAACAAATTTGCTTTAAATAATATTTACTTTTAATTAGGCCTATTATCAATAGCCTACTATTTATTATCATTAGGCCTCATTAATTAATTATTTATTCATGTATTGTCATTCGTATCATCCTCCATGTGGTAGTGATATGGCATTCCAGGTTTCCAACCCCCACTCCCCACACAAGCGGAGTGAATGACATCATTATATGCCCTGCCGTCATTGGCCACTCCTTTAACCTTACGAAACTGACCAATGGAAACCTAGGATCCACATTCAAATTCATTGCAGTACCAGGTACCAGTGGAGTCTACCAATGTTTGAAAAATATCTGTGATTTTAAGGTACAAAATACAACAATAATAGCTGGTTTGCTCACTGATAACTACAAAGCAAGGATAATTACAGGTAGACGAAGAGGGAAAATATATTCTGTCAAAACTAGTTTGATTATACACATCTAGATGTGTATAAGAGACAGAATATATATATATATATATATATATATATTTTGTGATATTAATTATGGCTGTACAGTATATGTATCGTATATTGAAACACCTCAATACAAGACTCGCAAAGAATAGCAAAACTTAAACTGGTATAGTCTTTTTTTTATTGATACTAAAGTTGTAACAATCACTGTAAATATTTAACTATATACTGAAACTTACATAATAAATACTAAAATAAGCAAATTTACATAAATATCATTTATAGGAATTAAATATCAAATATTATAAGGAATTATGTATGTATAATAATATTTCAATCATTTCATTTATATACTGTATTATAAGTCCATTCTTATTAGACAATACGTTATGGGTGTTGTCTTCAACTTAATGCCAGGCACACTCATTTGAATGATAGTACTCTTTGAACAAAGGGATGGTGTCTTTTCATCTGTTTAGTTCTTTTGTAAGGCTACCTTCCTTCATGTTTTTGTATGTAAATAGTTTATGATGCATTTTGGTAGTTAGTTTCACAGTGTTAGTATAGTTAAAAGTAACAGTTTTATTTAAATATCTTACCTCGTCTTCCTCTGTTGTTTAGGCGGTAATGCCAACATTCCAGGTCGTTGTTGGTCCTTATGCACTAATTGTAGTAAAATTTTTCCCATATTGTACAATAAAAAATATAACACCATGTATCTTTTGTATCTTGTTTTATTGGTAAACTGTGTAGTAATGGAATGGCTAAATGCTTTAAATGTATATAATTAGGAAATTATGTACATAAAACATATCTATTATGTACATAAAATATATCATATATTAAATTCATATAATATATAGGCCTAAGGAAGATATATGCAAATATTTTTGGAGATTTCAAGGCAGCGGCGGGCGTAATAAAAAATTAAAAAAAACTTGAATTTCATCTTTCATTTATTTAGTCGACCATAACTTCCCCGACGATATTAAAGCTATAAATTTCATCTTTCATTTATTCGACCAAACTTTAAAAAGCACAAACAAACAAGACGATTTTTAACACTACAATTTATGTTCATTTTCATCACGGAAGAAAAATAAATCAAAAATTCAAACATCAACAAGTGATGTATATAGAAATACAGTATATATATAAATTATACAGTAAATATTTTTACGTGAGTAACATGTCAACGCAAAAAAAAAATATCTAAAATTAAAACATATCAACAAACGAAATGAAGTTGTATACAGTAAATATTTTCCCTTTTTATTCATGTCACCTTCTCAACCATCAAACGAAATCAACAAATGTATATTTAATTAGAAAATCACGTTGTACATAAAACATATCGGAAATGGTTAAACACAAGGCGCAAGATGTGTAAAATATTTTCTCATTTTATTCACCAATTCTCAACATTGAAAATAAATAAAAAATTTAAACATTTTCAAGAAGTGACGAAACAAAGTTGTATACTATACAGCCGCATATTTTTTTACATCACATTTTTATTTATTACCGTATCACGCAAGAAAAATAAATCTAACGTATCAACATCAAACATTTTCACATTGTACATAAAACATAGGGGAGGATGTACAATAAAATTAACAATACATAATAATTAGGCCTACTTATTTGTCATAGGGCGCCTATTATATTAAACACACATTCTATAATAATAATAATAATATACTTTATGCAAAACACGGAGACACTTGAATCACCCATGAGTGTTTTTTTCATCCGTGAAGTCCGTCATAGACCATGCATAGTTAGAAAAGAAAAAATTATTGAAAACAAAATGAGTTAAAGAAAACAACAAAAACATAATATTTTAACTACCAATGAAACTATACCCCGCCGGACACCAACCCGGTATTTATAAGTTTCGGGGATAATAATAATGATTTACTGTATTGTTTTAATAGTACGTTATGTTTTTATACCGGTAAATAAATTCTTAATTATTCACTGTAGGCCTAGGCTTACGTATTTTCTCCTTTTTGTTATTGACGTATCCAGCTGTTCTATGACTACGTTCTTCTCATTAGCGGCTGTTGTGTATTCGGTGGTCCCTTTGGCGTTCCATACATTTGGCGCGGCGGCCGAAATGACTGGCGGCCGAAAAGATCGAACACCCCCTAACCATAGAGAAAATCTAGCAACGCTAGACCTAGCCCGAAAAAGTACACCGGTCCCGCCGCCAGGCAGTATCATCAGCATGCGGTGAAAACAAGGGTGAATTTTCTTCGTTGCTGGCCTTGAAGCAAAAAAATCGGTATCCTTTCTCAGCGCTTCATGTAGGCTATTTTTGGCGTGCCGCATGTCCTCGATCCCAGAGAAATGAAAAATGTCGAAACGTTTGTGATGACGTCGACGTGCCAAAGTTAGTAAATAAACTCCGGAACACGCAATTGGTCAAATAGCCTAGGCAACAAACCTCTCATTAATATTCATTTTGAAGTAGTCTTGCTGGTTACGTCATTCAGCTGGCTGCAGCTTTGTTTTGATTTCTACGATCGAACTACGATCGATAGCGACAAATAAACAGTGCCAAAAAATGCTCTCATTTTGTAATAAATTGCACTATTTTGGAAACGGGGGATCGTTTTCTGGCTAAGGGGGTTCGCTGGCAAAAGGTGTTCGCTAAAAAAGGGGGGTTCGCCCGAACCCCTAAATACCCCCTGGCTACGGGCCTGTTCCGGGGCCATTCTTACCGTACACCAATCCAAGGTCTAGGCATAGGGGTGGGGACCTAGGCTGAAAAACAATATAAAAAACAAAAAACCTATTCGGATAGGTTAACCTAACTCAAAATTGGTGCTAAATATGAAAAAGCACTAACATCTGAATCTGCTTAATGGATATCACTCTGAAAATTATCGAAAAGAGTAAAAATCTTACCAGTTTTGTTACAAGCACAACCAGAGGTTGTGTGTAGGCAGTTATATTTGTTGTTATTAGGCTTATTCGACTGGTTCATTTCGTTAAGTAAGATTTTTCGTTGAGTATTATTTTCATTCGACTGGTTCCGTTAAATAGATTTCGTTGACAACAAAATGAACATAAACACAGTGCGTTAATCAGCGTTAAGTTATCCACGTGACCAAAAAAACATGGCCGATTGGTGAGTTTATAAACAGCATTTTTAACTGAATTACTACCTCATCAAGTTTAGGAAACAATATCTAGACGTTATCAAGGATTATTGAATGTGTTTTAAAATTGTATTTTATTTTTGTACCACCTTTCTTTATTAATGACAGGTTCGTAAATTTGCTTTGAATGCATTGTGATCTATTTGATTTCAAACCTCTTTTTCTATACTCTGGGCCTACATACAAGTTTTTTTCAAATTTATGTTTAAAACTTAATGGACTTTACGTGTGAAGTCCATTAAATTGATTGATTGATTGATTGGATTGACAACTGAAGGTTCTGTATATTGTTAGCACACTGGTGAATGCATTGGCCATGGCAAAAGAGTGACCAATCTGGCGAATTGGGTTGAAGACATTATGGAAGCACTTTATTTTATACTTTCTCAGAACCATTTTTATTTTTTACTTTTTCACTTAATTAAAGTGGATCCAATGAACTAAAGTTACAAAATTTGGATGTTGAGTGTCACCTATACACTTTTCGATGGGGAGGTGCGTTTTGCAACCGAAGTGGACCACGATGGGCGACAGTGCCTAGGGATCCCCGCGAGGGTGCGGCGAATCTTCTGGAAGCTCTGACAAATTAGCATTTTGAGGGCTTTTTTAATGGATTTTTAAAATCCATAATTTTTAATATCCTATTAAAATTTGCATTCATTTGAGTATTGTCTAGGGACCTACAGTAAAGCAGGAGAAATAGAGGGTGTGGGTGAAGGGAGAAACTTGCACAGACAGATGGTCAATACCACCTCAGCCCCACCATGGTTGGGGCTGAGGTAAGAAAATTTATGATTATGGCACCTCAAAATGACCGGAAATGGCACTCTCAGACAAACTTTATCTTGATTTTTCTTTTTTCTCCATTTCTTTTTTAGGGGGCTCTTCTCCCTTGAATTCACCACTGTGAAATTACGGTAATTTTTCATGTTTTTTACATCTGTAGGCCTACAGACGACATGGATCAATCTGCAATCACTGGAGCTGATAGTTTCCAACAGATTTCGTAGCACATTATTAAAAAGAAGAGCGGGCAAAAAATGTAATGCATACTGTAGGCCTACCATTTCGTGATAATTAGGAACGATTTTTGTGAAATAATAGGTTTTAAAAATTGGACTTTTTGAAATTTGGTGGTCCAGGGGCAGAGGCCTGGAGGGGGTTTGTGAGAAAAGCGACAAAGTAGCATTTTGAGGGTCTTACATAATAGATTTCTCAAACACATAATTCATGAATATTTCATTTAAATTTTCATTAATTTGGGTGTTTTTGGGACATGAAAAAGTAACATTATTATGTCCTGTACATCTGCAGGCCTATAGATAACCATAGAGAAAATAGAACTATGAGATAACATTCTTCATATTATATAGATTAATCTGCAATCACCGGAGACGATCAATATCTAACAAATTTCATACCACTTTATTAAGAATCAACGATAAGATAAGCTAGCATATATATAATGCAATGCATGCTATAGCATTTTATGATAATTAGGAACGATTTTGTGAAATCATAGGTTTTAAAAAGTGGACCTTTTGGAATTTGTGGGGGCGGGGGGGGGGGGGGGGGGTGCGTCCGCACCATCTGCACCCCCTCCCCGCCTACGGACCTGTTGTATACTATTAATTAATATTAAAATTAATCTTAATCAGGAAGTTGTTATAGTGACTAAAGCAACTCCCTGTCTTAAAAACATTAAATCATTATTCATTATAAGCAGTAGGGCCTATTAATAATTTGATGGGTAATTTGTAGTATTGTATACGCAGCAGTGTGGTATCTAACACAATGAATGTTTACCATATTATTATCTCCATGTGTCACAGGTGACATTATAATTTTAGATGTTTAATTAATTTTTTGTCATTATTAACGAACGGGTTTGCTACCAATAAAGATAAGGAGAAGTTACGTTATATCCAGGGTTGTGCTGAGTATGCAAATGAGGGAAATTGTGCAGGTCAATTTGTTGATGAATATCAGAGCTGTGTTAAACATGTAAACCAGGTAAGCCGTGCATGATATTGATTGGCTGAGAGCTATGAATAATGAGATAGGTTGTGAAATGTTAAATTGGGTGTGATTTGGAGGGTAGTCTGGTTGTAAAACTGGTGAAATGAACTTTAGCGGGAAAAAAGTAAAGGAAAATTAATTTTTGGTTTTTCTGAATCAGCATACCCTATAGTGTCTCAGAAAAAAAATCCCCATGCCTAGGGCTTGGGCAATTTTTTTTACAGCACTTTGAAATTTTGACCTAAAATACCCTATTTTAAAGTATTTAAGATGGGGGTAGGGGAAATAAATTTATGTCTTTGGTCACTTTTACATATATTGTGGATATGAAATGTAACAAAAACTTGGCTAAATAGTTACTCATCACTCTCATTTAAAAAT